TTCGCTAGTAGAAACAAGTGCCACGCTAGTAGTAACAGGTGCCTTACACCCAACTTGGAGATGTGACCTACCAACTCCATGGCCCTCAGTGCCCTGAGCCCTGCTTCAGGATGAACTCGGGGAAACCTTACAGACCATGACCAGACTGTGTATCTGGCGATGCATGATTGGTTCTTGGACCTTTCAAAGCAGGCTACTGTGTGTGTTTCTGTCAAAATACCCTTTACAAACCTTGAATAGTAAGAATAAAATAATTGCACAAGACGTTTCTCATCCCAAACCCCTTCTCTTGCACATCTCGTAAATGATTGTTGAGTTGCAGGTGGCAAACGTTCACTCCTGGAAGTGGTGAAGAATCTTTTCTAGTTGAAAGGCGAAAGGGACGATGAAGTACAAAACAAATATAATATATATGTGAATGAAAAACCCCTGGCAAAAGATATACACTTCACAACGACACCTTGGGCATCCTTGGTCGATGTATGTTAAAATGGTCTTCGAAAAAGGTGCAGCCAGGCCGAGCCAGGCAGATCTGAATCTTGCCAGGTGTTTTTTTGATGTTTTTTGAGACTTCTCTGTGTGGCTCTGGTTCAATAAAGACGACTCCAGGCCCTGGAGAGTCATGTTTTCCAGTTAGGCAGCTTGAGGTCGTTTGGACCTTATTTTGATGAGCCATAATTAATGAGTAATGATCAATGGCCTCCAACCTAATAGCGATGGCCTCCAACCTACTAGCTGTGAGAATGAACATACTCTGCTTCGATCCTTTGCATCACCTTCTCCAGCCGTGCCCGACGGTTTTCGCCTGTGGCGCAGGCAGCTCCCCAATTTTACGGCGCTTCCTGGCGGTCGAACAGATCCCCAAGAGTGGTAGCTAACGGGTGCTTCATTCGGCCTTAAACAATTTGGATCCTCTTTAAGGTCAAACAAGGACGGTTAGCACTACAGTTTGGGAACTCGGAACATCAAATCAGTCGTCTCGTTCCCTATTTTCTGGCCAGCCCCCCACAAGCAAACATACATGTTCTGAGCAACACCAGTCCTTTGGTCTATAACCAAGCAAACAGTCGATGTTTAGGCGTACACACCATTACACACCTAGGGAAAACACGGGAAAACAGAAGAGTTCGTAGTCCTACTTGCAAAGGCAAAATGGTTTTCCTGCACGTTTCGGCTTCAAAATGCATCCAAGAAGAAGCATCTGGGTTGCATGTGTGGGTTGCGGTCAGCAAGCCGCGCACCTCGCACCACACCTGTGGTTTCGTTCATCGATATTTTAAATGATTTTTGCACATGCTGATGACATTGACCGTGCATTCGCAATCCAAAACAAAGATGGCCACACACGGCCTGCTCAGCAACAGTAGTAGCAAATTCCATAGTTGGCATCGTCGAGGCTAAGACACCTCTTGATACCTCTTGCACAAATAAGGATTGATGTGATATCTGAGATCTGTTGTCAGGCATACTGTCCTCATATGGAGAAAGGGCAAGCCAATCATCACCGTTGCCACCCGATTCAGGTGCCAAGTCGGATCTCAGGCACCAGGATATCCCCTGTTTGCTTCACTGCCGCGTTTGCACCAAAGAACAAGGCAGGCCAGCGTTTGTAGTCGCACATCACAGCCGACCAACAACGATGACATGCCACACACCAACTAATTACAGCTTCTGAAACGCTTTGAGGTGTTTAAAAAACACACTCAAAGAGAGGTTGAATTATGTTGAATTTATGCTTTTTGCAGCAAGCAATCCGAGCAAGAACACGTAGGTTTCTGGCAACATGTATGTCAGCCTAATGAAGATGGCTTGGAAGCCAAGTCCGCCTAGTTAAGCGATTTCTTGGGCTTCTATTTTGTTGAGCCAAATACCATCACCTTTCTTCAAGATCTATGACAATCCTCGAAGCATCTTGAACCAACCAAGTTGCTTCAACAGGACTGTTGGTTCACATCCGGAGCTCGCTTCCAGGTCCACCGGAGCTCGCTTCGGTCGCGCGTTGGGAGCCGCCGGTCCCACCCCATCGATCCACCTCCCAGGCGACACGGGCGTCAGTCGACCCGGGGCCCGCGAGGGCGCCGCCTGCGCCGCTGCGGTGAAGGGGAACGGAAGGAGGGTGACCTGGTGGGGCAGTGAAGAGTACATCAACATGTATACAACTGATCTATGTCGGTATAGAAAAAAACAACCATCTCAAAGGCTTAAAACTTTTAACCCACCTCTCAAAGGCTTGAAAAACCACATTTTAAAAGGTACCAGCCATTGTATAGAGTTGTTTGATGTTGTTTGTTGGACTTCACTTATTGATGCCTCCCCCAAAGCCTCGCAATTTCACTTGTTAATCAATGGGGTCTAGGGCGAGGGTGTTCTACTCAACTTGCCAAGCAGCATGAGGGTGGAACAAGGTCCCGACAGTTCAGACACCAAGTTCTCAGAGTTCACCAGGCACCAGCACTAGGAAGCTACGAAAGTTAGCTCCTGGCATCGCCACGAGGAGCCTAGGAACTACAAAGGGCAATCGCTACTACATTCATTTCGTCTCCGGTTCACTGACCCACTCCCAGCGAAAAACTGGATCTCACAGGTGAGACCCTCAACATGAATCAACATCTTGTATGACCTTCATCTCTCTCAGGTTTCGTCTTCGCCGCTTCGCCTTCCTCTTTGCTTCTGTAAAAAGCGGGTGGTACTTGTCCGTCGGGTACCAGGTGCTGCCCCAACAATCCGTTTGGCCATCCTCCGAGGCTCAGCCTTCTTGGTACCAGGGGAAGCATCATCATCCTCCAGTTCCAAGCGTGCCAAGCCTCGGCATGACGGCAGAGTGTCCCTGACCACTTCGACTCCCAAGAGTCGACTCCCGGACTGACCACTTCCCTCCAAACAGTTGACGAACATCCATATGCACAAAAAGGTCGAAAACAACTTGGCCCTTCTGGAGTGAAAACGGGCTTCACATTTGAGACATCACCACTTTCGATGGATCTCCCAAGGCTTTCTAGGCCTCTGGCGCTGTTGCTCACCGCCTGCGGCGCGGTGTTCAGTTCAACCAATACTTTTGCATAGAGCGGGCTCAACTTGCACGACAAAAACAACCCCGGTAACAACATGTAACAACCCCAAAATAGTTTCACTAGCAAATGCTCGAAACACACACACACACACAAAATAAAACAAAAGGAAACGCCTGAAGTGAATGGCTACCCCCAAAGTCTTCGTAAAGGTCCAGTTCAAACGACGAGCGCGCTCAGTTCAAACGAGTGGTGCCTCCCACCATCGAGACCGCCACAGCCAGGCCATAGCCTGGCGCTCCGCGCCGTTGGTGACTCGGTCGATTGCGGAGGACGGGAGAACATCAGCTGACCAACTGAGTCCGACAGAAAGAAGTACATCAGCTGACCAGTTCCAATGGGGTGCTCGCCTGACCAGTACCCAGCCTGGAACAATCACCCAGGCCAAGTGAATCCTCCTTTTGAGAACTAGTTGGGAACAGTCCGCAGCTGAAGCGGAACCGCTCGTTTCATCGAGAGAACCAGGACGCCTACCAAAGGAACCTGGAAACCAGGTTGTTGAAGAGACAACAGATTGTCGGCAAGGTAGCTGGCCAACTGTGAGGGCAAGCAATGGTAACAGGCATGAAACGTTGGACGACTAGAGTAGCAAACCAAGAATCAAGAAGGCAAAAGGCAACAAAAAGGAAGTATGGATGGACACCTGAAAGTATGATATGCAAGAACCTATGCACGCATGATCCGGCACATGAAACAATAATATGCGCATGTGCCACGAGGAACATGCTTTAAATCTGGCTATCCGAAGTCGTCCTCGTTCTTTCGGGATGGACTGGGTAGATCTCCAGCCCCTTGGCCCCCCTTGGGTGAGACATTCCTGATGACCCCAAAAACACGGTCAAACAAGTTTGCAGCCGGTTTTTCGAGGGACAAGGAGAATACACCCGCGAATACACTCATGTGGTCAATGTATGGTGGCTATGTCATGTTGGTTTTCAGCCATGCATAGTACTTTGTCTCAACAGACCCATTGCCCCTCCTTTCATCCACCACCATCCACCCATCCTGGCCTGATGCTGGTGCCTCTTCAGAGGATGGAATGGCCTTTTTCACATGCCAGATGTGACCCGGGATGGGGAAACCGGTCCGAAAGTGGTGACATTGTGGTGAACATGGTTTAATTAATCATGTTTAATCGATCTTACAAAGACTCAGCAGGCTTTGAACCTACCTACTATTTGTGAATTCCCTGGCTTTGGAGTAGCCTTCCAACTCCATGGCCCATGCCTGACCGTTGATTCTGGGGATGCTCTCTATGTCAGGCTGCCTCTCCCTGAGCTTCCACACCGGCGCGGAACCATTCACCGAGAGCCGGATCATCCGCCGCTTCGTGGGCGTGCCTCATGAGAGGTGGCGAGGCACGAGGCCTGAGAACCAACATCGGTCCAGTTCCCGAAATCCGTTCATCCCGAAACAGCGGTCGGAGTCCCGAAAGGTGTTCACCTTTCCGGAAAGGACCAATGCTCAAACATTGGAGAAGAACATTGGAAGGATGATCAAGGATCGGTCGCTGGATCCATCCTGCCATGCATTTTGGACTTCATGTCACACTCCCGGCGCCATTCCCCCCAAAAAATATCCAAGTAATGGAAAACATCGACCTCTTTCTTTGCTGTCTGACTTTTTGAGCAACCAATGGGCTTGCTCCAATTCTTGCCGGATCTAGCCGGTTTGGTTCATAGACATGAGATGAAACTAGCACACCAATACCCAGACACTCCATGTATGCCATATATATGCTTACATTGGGGTGGTTTGAGGGGTCAATGGGGCGGCATATATGGCAGTCCCATGGAGTGTCTGGGATATAGCACACCCCCCCAGATCCAACGGCGCACGACGGATCGATTCCGGCGTCCCCACGACTGGCCACTTCAGCCACCTTGTCGGAACCTAAGCCACTGGGCGGATCGCGCGGAGATTGGAGGGTTTGGAGGTTTGGAGGTTTCCGTGAACACCAAGTTCTTGGGTACCACTGAAAATCCTCAAGAATTGGAGCTTCATGGATGATTGTGTTTAATGGTCCTGTTTCTAGCATCTACCAGACGACATCCATTCATCCGACACTCTGATTCAAATCCGGGCCCCAATAGCACAAAGAAGCTGTAGGGCCCCTGCGTGGGGTGCCCCCTGTTAGGTGCCAAGAGAGTGAGACCGTGACAGTCTGTTCTATCACTTGGATATCGAACAAACGGCATCCAGGCAGGATCGGACTCGCATGAAGGTGTCCTGCACCGGTGATAAAATATGATAACATATGGCCTTCACACATTCTCTTGGACAAAGAACACGTGGGACACGTTCGGCAAGGACGACCAGCATGAACTAATCCACCTGAACAAGTAGGGTGAGCCTGTTTCAATATCTTTGTGCAAGATTGCCGACTCAAGAAGTGAGGGTTGATTTAAGTTCCATCAATGGATTCATCACTGACTTAGATCATATTGACTTGCAGTTCCAACAAGATCATTAACAAATAATTTTCACACATCTAGGACCGTCTTTTGTATGCATCGGATTTTCATGCCGTCGTCGCATCTATATCGTTCATATGGCCTGCCTATCAGGTAGTCGTGTCCACCGTCCCACGCATGACCACTAAAACTTCTACCATCTTCTGCAAAATCTTACTGCCAGAAGTTACGTGGGCTCCTGGCATCGCTAGGCATCGCTAGGCATCGCGAGCGATCGGACGCTACTAGGAACCCGGGCATCGCTACTAGTAGCAAGGACGCTAAGTGACCCGTGCGTCTTCTTGGCTCCCCGACCACCGCCCCGCAGGATGATTCGGCGCAGGGGAGGCGAGTCCGACGCGGACGTGGCGGGAGTGCCTTGCTGCCGAGGCGGTGGTTGCACCACGAGGCGCGGGGCCCAAGCGTGGGCTGCTGTTTTGGAGGATGCATCAAAATCGAAGGAGAAGATAGACAAAGATAGAGCACAGGAGTCTGGGACTCCTTTTTGGGGGGGAGAAATGCTTGGTCTTTCAGGTGCTGGGCGGCTCGAATGCGACTTTCCCCCCCATTTAAGTCAAAGGGGTCAATCCAGAGCCCCGAAAGAAGGCACCCGGCTTTCTCAGCTGTTTTTGGAAGAATGATGTCTGAAGGTGGATAAGAACGTTCTAAGTTGTCCATCAAAAGTCCAATGCTGTGGATCATCGAAAAGAGGGTCAACTCTCCCGTTGACCCGGGCCTGGTTGCTTCAATGCTTTGGATGTGGAGCAAGACCAGCACAAGAATTCAAGGCAAAGCCTTGTGCTGAATCAATCTCCGGCACCCTCCGCTTTCCCGAGGTCCTCACCAAACTATTGTGAGTGAATTTTAAACAGCATCACCAATCCCGTGCCGAGGTGGCTGGAAGAGTCTACAAATCGTCAGGCGCCTGAGTTCCTCACTCTGGGTGGCCGTGCCGTCATCCTTCCTGCATAGGCCCAAACTACCCGAGCAATGTTGGAACTGATACCCAGCAAGTAAATCATCAATCCGTCGTCCTCATGTCTGCCTCTTCATCCTCGAGTCCCTTAATTTGCAACATTGATCTGTTTCGAGCCAGGTAACAAGTGGTGAATGAGAACTCCCAGTAGCTCCTTGTCTTCGTTGTGGAATACACCCAGCTCCAAGATCGCTCGCCCTGTATGGGTAATTATAGTATATAGATGTATATAGGTGCTTTTCCATGCACATCTGCAGCCAACCGATTCACGAACCCACAGATTCAGCGGAAGAAGTTCATCAACTCCTGAAACCCACTGGCGACCACACCGTGGCCCCCCCCCCACACCACACCGTACTTCACGGTGGCTGGTCGCCGCCACGCTCCATGCGGCCACGATCGACCCTCCATCGCTCGGTCGCTCCGCCTCCTCGTCCCGGGCGCTGCCGACGCGGGCGGCGTCGGCGCATCTCTGAGCTTCGGCTTCGGAGTGGCCGGCGGCTCGGAGTCCAAGTCCAAGAGCTCCTTGGGTTGGGTTGAAAACAGGGGTGAGATCCACAGGTTGGAGTAGCATGTTATCCTCATGTTCTATCAAGTATACACCAGCTACAGCTGTCAAATGCTGTCAATTCGTATTTGTGTGCAATGTTGTGGAGCAAGCACACTTGTTTTATTAAGGGACTGCAAAGACTACATCAGCAACTGAGCAAAGGAGGACAGCTCAGTATGACAGAAACTGATGGCCTGATGGATTTGATTTGGTACATCATCACAAGGCCAGACCAACTACAAAGGGAGGGGAGACCAACGCCCTTTCGGAGGAAACATGGAAAACTCTCTTAGAGGAAACGATGCACAACCTGAGATACGACTAAGACACGTAGATGGCCAGCCGTGGATGTTCAATGACTGTCCTTATTGATATAAGTAAACTCAAACACGTAGATCAACATGGCACCACTGCTGGGTGTTAACCTTACACATGTTTTAACAAAGGTTAGTTTTAAGGCACCACCACCGTAGATCAGGTTAGATCACCTTCTTTTTCTATCTTTCTAACCTTACACACGTTCTACGTGTTCTTTTTGCTGGGTGCTTTCTTACGCCAATCGCATCTGTCACATCTGCCACGAAATCATGCCAACAAGGAACACAACCGACCAAGCGCCTACCCCCGGTCCCCCGCTCCGTTCGCGCCTCTGCATGCTGAGCGCCGCATCCATCGTTCTTGAGCTCGCCTCCCCAGGGCCCTTGCGAAGAGGTCCCCGCTGATCAATGCGAAGAGCATCAATGAACCCCCCAAAATCAATAGAACATGTCGTCAGTTCTGCAAACGGCACTCTTTCTCCGGGATGTGTGCCGTTGGAATAACCAATTCCATCTACTTTAGAATGGACATGGGGTCAAATGCGGACAGAATTCAAGTGGCCATGGGGTGTTGGTGGGGAAGAACTTGACATCCTAGCTCAATATACCATCTGCATCCAAAGCCCCTCTGTCTCAACCAAGGTTGTTTAGGCTCAAAGTCTATTCTAATAAGAGATACTGAGAGGCTGAGATTCAAGAGTCACATTCACTTTGATGAAACTCTTGCGTTTTTAGGCTTTCACGATGCTTCTGATGGTATAGTCACTAGGCCAGTGACCTCCAGTGACTGCACCTCGCTAGTTACCGCTCCCGGCCTCTCTCAGCTGCCGAAGACTGCGCCGTCTTCAGTGGCTCGCCATCCTTGGGCCTCCGGGGTCGACGCTTGGGCGACGAGCGCGCGGAGCGCTCGCTCGGCACCGCACCGAAGGTTCGGAGGTCATCAATCACCTATGTTTCACCGTGGTTTCACCGTGGTTTCCAAATGTTTCAAGGATTTTCGGTAATTTCTACATGACATAGGGAATGGAGTGTCATGGGATGGACCGATTAGGAATCTACTCCGGAGACATTCCTGCGCACAGGTGGCAACATGTGAGCTTGTACTCTGCTACTTTGACCATTTGGAATGCCTTTCAAACGCCGTTGAACGTTGCCATTCGTAGGTGGCCCTTAGTCGCAATTGGTAGACCTTAAACCGCAGAAGTCACGTTCGTCCAGACCCCAGACGTGGCGATACAGCCCATGTTTCACTTCTTGTTGAACCCTTGATGTGACGAACTCCTGCTCAACAAGACCAGCGAAGCGCGAGGTTCGCACAGCTGTGCGCCGGCTGCCCGGGTGCCTCCAGGTGCCGTCGCTCGCAATGATCACCTGTTTCATTGCGAGCCCCGGCGACGGGTGAGGAGCGAGCAGGTGAGGAGCGACGGCAGGACACTGCACCCGCCATTCACGACCGGGACTGATTTTGAGATGTTTGGGAGATGGTGGGAGATTGAATAGGTTTGAAGAGTCTAACTATCGTCTCATTTAGAGTACATAGATCACATATGATCACATAGAGTGTTTCGATGCTCACCGTTGTGCAATTTTTTGCAGCATCCTTTCAACGGCCTCCCCTGCTTGCACTCATGACAGGGACAGGGCTGGACCACTGATCCGCACAACGTCCATCACAAGGCGCCCAGCGAGCACGTCTTAGCCCATGGTCTCGCTGTCATCCACTTGGCACCAAGTGGGTTGGCCTCAAACGCCTCGACTGGTCTGCCAACAACATTTAGTGTTCCGTTGCGACAGAGTTCAGCCCCATGGTGCGCCCCACACCCGGCCAGCGGTGTGACAAGAGGCTCCAATCCGAAATCCGGGGTGCCGGAGCTCTTGTTGGGTAGGGCGATTAGACAAACATCACACCGTCGGCGGGAGCGACTGAGCCACTTAGCCAATCTCAGCTACGGAGCAGCTGTCGGCAACGCAAGGAAACCCGCGAGTCGAGCGACTCGCGATGCAGCTTGAAGATCCGGTGATCCTTTCCCCGCAATGCAGCCACAGGCAGAATCATCAAGTGACGCCAAGCTTGGAAGGTTGCCGCAGTGATGGATGAGATGAAATTTTGCAACACATAGGTTTCAAAATGGTTTCAACACCCCGAACACATGATCTTCCTGTCTTTCAAGTTGAGAGTCTCAAAACAACTCCGTGAGAGGAACAACTTGGGAAATAAAGAAGCCTCCAGACAACAAACAAAATCAACACATGTCGCAAACACAAACAAAACAACAACAAAAACCATGCGCACATGCCTTCGGACGGACCAGGCACCAACAAACCATCCCGGTGAAAGGGACAGTACTGTGACAGTACCATGGAAAAACGATCCAAAGCCTCCTGCCCTGGATGTTATCTTTTTAAAGAAGAAAACACCGTCTGCCTTTCATCCTCCTCTGGCACGTCTGCCATCTCTGGGTCCCGGTGATCCTCCTCTCACCGACCTGCCTCGTCCACGCTCTCGGGCCTCAGCCCAGGTCCCAAAGATCCGAACCACCCCAAAACGCACTCAACAGGCGACCTGCTACTCCCCAAACCCCAAAAAGTGAAGGTCTTCTGTTGGCACAGTGGTGCCACCTAAGTTTTGAGATGTTTTGAGTTAACATGGTGTTCATTTTACGAACGGGGCTCCTGGCCTTACTACTACTTGTAGGAGCAATCGACCTTCTTCTCAGGTCCCCAGGTCCAATCCGCCGGAAGCCGCTCGTGCCGCTCAGATCACGGCGTGGCGGCGAGGATCTGTGCCACGTAGCGATCGCGCTGGAGGTCCGGAGGGCGAAGAATCAACGTACCTGGAGGAGATTTCTGAAGGTCTGGAAGTTTGTCATCTGGGTTTGAAGCAGGTCATGCACAATCCTACGAGTATGATGGTCGCCGGCTTGAGGACGCGCCACCGATCGCGTGCGACCTCGCGATCGGTCGGACGGTCCGTCAACGAGAAGATCAATAACCCAAATAACCCCGAAAACCATTCAAATCAACGTCATAATCCATCCTAAGCCATCCTAAGCACCTATTTGGTGCTCCCTTTGATGTGGGAGACCCTAAAACCATTTGCTGGACCGAAGCCGAGGCATTCACCCTCTCCGACCTGCAAAAACCTCCGTCGGCACATAAAGGGCAAAGCCATCGTCGGTTGAAGGCACCCATCTCGCAAGCGCTGAAGGGATAGGACACGCAACATGCAATCAAATGTCAAAATTGAAAATAACATAAAACATGTCCTGTCCATTTTTATTAAAACAATCATGTCATGTCATAGTATGTCATTATAGTTCTCTTGAACTCTTTTGCACTGTTTCACCCCGAGTGCTCGAAGAAACTGACAATAATGATGTCAAATGCGGGAACCCACGCAAATTGTTGGATGCTGAAACCACGTTGATTTTCTGTATGTCCCCATAGTCCAGCCAGAAGGCACGTGATTCCCCCTTTGGTGGCCAGTGTCATGAGCTACAGAGTTAGGTAGAATGGAGCTCTCTGGCAGCATAAAGCTAGAAGTCCAACCAATCATCCACGTCCGATCAGTGCAATATCATGCAAAATCACCATATAGTGTATAGACTCGACCCCCAAATAGATAGAAAAGTCGATCCCCACGTAGAAAATGTCTTGGAAACCGTATGAAACCGTGCAATCCTATCTATGTAAGGGTACCACTAGATCCACTAGTAGATTCACCAAGTAGATTCGTCCGACAGTCATTTGTGTTGCTTCGCCGGCCACCGAGTTTGGATCCAGCCTGGCGGTTGCTTCGGAGATAGGCTTCCAAGCTGAAGCACTGCCTCAGGCGCGAGACAGTAGAGGCACTGTACAGGGATAAACCCAAAAGGGCTTAGTTGTTTTTGAAAACGTTAAAACATGATGCGTCGTTTATGCCACGTTCATCAAGACTTAAACTTGATTCAAGGGCCTTGATTGATTGCTTGGGGCCATGTTAGCTGTGACGGCTGGTTTTTTGAGGCCAACGTTTGGTCCAAAGTAAGCGGCCCTGAACAGGAGGTCTTGACTCCACATGTCCCTCCACTGACCTCTGAACCGCCTATCTTCAAACCGATCTTCGCGGTTCTGGTTTCATGGGTGTCCTCAATCCCCCACAACAAGCATTTTGCAGGACATTCCACTTGTTTTACGCCCTTGAAGAGACCCACATGGAACCTGAAAACCACGTCAGGTTCTAGGGGAAAGTCGATCTTCCAGTCCAGTCAACTTTCAGGTTCCATGTGGCTGTGGGTCAAGGGTCAAAACCTGGAGCCCTAAATCCTCACAGGTTGACTCATTTTTCGGTATTCAACCAATGTACCCGCTTTTGACCCACAGCCATGTCAATCCTACCCGGTGTAGTGGGTAGGATTGGGTCACCACGGTGGCCGGAAGCGACGTCAGTCCCCCCGCGTATGTTGACAGCGCTCCCCTCGAACAGGGTCCTCACCGGAGCAATTTTCAGAGAGCTGTGAGCTGAGAGAATTGAAAGGGGAATATGTTTAAATGACTGCACATCCTGGCAGGAGTTCATTGTAAACTCGAGTCTGATAAAACAATTCTTCACAAAAAAACACACACAGCTTCCAATTCAATTCATTTGAGCAGCCTCCAAAAAAGACTATTATATATAATATATACTACGTTTGCTATATATAGTTGTTATACTGTATGTTGTTATATCCAGTTGTCCTGAACGCGCTCCATGGTGATGGGACACTGCAACTTCAAGGTGTCTGTGCTGAGGCAAACCAGCTCCTGTGATCGGACGCTCCTGTGATGGGTCATCCGAAGCTGTGATTGGACTGATCGTTTCGGTGCTATTGAACTTCTGTGGGTTTTGATATTTAAAGGATCTTCTCAAATGTTCTTCATGTTCTTACATGTTTCTGGCCTCTCGGATTCAATCTGAATTCTTCTGATAGAGGATTGCTGGCTTTTCATTGCGGGACATTTGCGGGAGTTGGCCAGTTGGCCAGGACCTCATACAGATGGTACTACTGGGGGGCAAATGCGATGTTGACCCGGAACAAGAGGCTGCCTAGAAGGCTTTGGGTCCATGTTACATAGGGGTGTCAACCACAGGAGTACATTGTGAGAGACCAACGGAACGAAATATGTCGTGTTTCATAGTCACAAATTCACAAACTGATGTTCATTGTTAGTATGCTGCCAATGTTTGCCCCACATGACCCGCCCTATCGCGCCCTTGCAAACAACGAAAACGCGCCCCCAAGCTCCACAAACAAAAGGAATGGCGATGAATCCAAGCACAAATCCAAGCTGGTGGTGATGACAGGCTGGTGATGGTGGTGCACACACCCTATCAGCTGTGCGACCGCTAAGCGCGCTACGCAGCGAACGACGGCTGAACGGATGACACCGCCTCAGCCAAAGGCAGTTTGATCATTCTTTATCCCCAATTCATCCAAGCTGAGGCTATCTGAGGCTAGTGGCTAGACCAACAGCTGAAGAAGTGCAAAAAAAACTAGACGACGAGTGGCCCGAAAGCATTTTTCATCACGTAGGAAATCAGAGTGCGAGTTATCCGGTAAGTGTGTAGTGAGAAGTGTTAAGTCGAGTGAGTTGAGGTAGTGTGTGGGTTTCTGTGCGTGTGTCCATGTCCGTGTGGAAAGGAGTCTGCGTATGTGTGCGTTCGTGGAAGTTGAGGGAGTGTGTGGGTGTTTGTGTGCGATGCGGCCTCCCAAACCCCCCACCGGCGGCCAAGCGGTGACAGCCCAGCTC